CTGGGGGGTGGAGGGTGGTCGGTGAGAGGGGGGCCTGGGTCAGGAAGAGAGGAGCTCTCCCCATCTGGTGTAAGATATGCCCAAGGCTTGGCAGCTTAGGGAATATCAGGGGACAGCAACCCTGGTGCATTATCACTGTCTTGGGATGGGACTTTGCAAACATTGGCAAGGGAGCCACAGCAGGTAGTTCTAGAGCACGCGTGAGAAATCGCCTCGAGACCTGAGGGGCATTGTAGGCAGTGGTATTTAGGTTAATGTTTATATGCTCTATCGGTCCCCATGGAAATGTTTTAAGCAGCGGTTCTCAACCTGTGGGTCGCGACCCCTTTGGCGGTCGAACGACCCTTTCACAAGGGTCGCCTAAGACCATCCTGCATATCAGATATTTACATTACGATTCATAACAGTAGCAACATTACAGTTATGAAGTAGCAACGAAGATAATTTTATGCTTGGGTCACAACATAAGAAACTGTATTTAAAGGGCCAGAAGGTTGAGAACCACTGCTAGAACCTAGCATGACACCTGGCAAACAAAAGGTGCTCAATTAGTATTTGTTGGATGAACAGTTAGATTCTTCCAGGCACGGTGCTTGGTGGTTTGGGGGAACAGAGAAATACTGATATTCAGAGACTTCCCACTATTCTGTCCTAAAAAGACTTCAGGAAGCCTTTCTCGTCACAGTGTACATCAAGGATCCACTTGCTTGGAGACATTTAAATTGTAGCAATATCAACACCTGATCTTTGCAGGGTGTTTTCTTGTTTTCAAAGTGCTTTACCATGCATTACCTCAATTGATTTTTATAAGGTAGACAAAGTACATGTTTTTAACTTCGTTTTTCAAATAAATAAACTAACGTTGAGAGAAATGATGGCTTCCATGGTTCCCTTAACTTTCCACTTCATCACACAATCCTTGATCTGCTTCACACATCAAGGGCTTTAACTACCAAAGTACGAAACACACTAAATACTGGTTCTTCAGAATCATCTCTGGAATGAGATAATAATGCACCTACTTGCCGAAACCGGTTTGGCTCAGTGGATAGAGCGTCGGCCTGCGGACTGAAAGGTCCCAGGTTCGATTCCGGTCAAGGGCATGTACCTGGGTTGCGGGCACATCCCCAGTGGGAGATGTGTGGGAGGCAGCTGATCGATGTTTCTCTCTCATCGATGTTTCTAACTCTCTATCTCTCTCCCTTTCTCTCTGTAAAAAATCAATAAAATATATATATTAAAAAATAATGCACCTACTTACTGCTTCTTCTCCTGACCTCCCCCCGCCCCCAACCTTCATCATCCACATTGTGTTTACTCAGTACTCAGCCTAACAGAATCCTTATAATTGTTCCTCTTGATCAACTGTGGCAGTCACAAAAATAGAGGGATATGAAAGTCCTGGGCCCATGAGACTTGCCACTTAGGGGCTGATCTGGCTACCCTGTTTCTGTAAAAGAATTAAATTGCTATTGTTGGCAGCATTTACCTATAGAATAGTTCCTAAGAGATCATCATTTTGCAGAATTCACTACCAAATACCTAGCATTATTTCAGTTTTGAAATTCCTCGTCAAAATCAAGGTCAAACTTGATTAAAATATTATTGGGAAAAAATGAGATCTCTTTTCATTGAGTATAATTGATATAAAAGCTTCTGGGACTTTAAGACAATGGCATTTGTGAAACGTAAGAGCCCTTTCCCATTTTCTTTGGTAGGACATTGCCTTTAAAAGCCTTGACAATCCTAGTATACAGGAAAACCCCAAGGACAGCAGTCAAGTCTGAGCTTGAGATAATGCCTATTGTTCAAGTAAAAGGGGGGCTAATGGAGATTATGGGGTGGTAGTGGCGGCTAAATCCCTAAAGACCATGCTTTTGTGGCACCATTATTTACCTGTAAACTCGATGAGCTGTTCCCAGAAGAGGCCCCTGTTCTTCTATCTCAGACTTCAGTTCAGTCAATCGCAGAGCCAGTTCTTTCTCCAACATCTGGATCCTTTCTGTGGAAGCAACCTTGTAAATTTCATCCATGGTTCGTACCTACTATTTTCCTGT